GTTAATTTTTCTTTTATGTGCAACAACATTCTGCATTCGCCAGGTAATGGAGTATACGTGTCTCAATTGGTTGATACTCTAGAACATGTTCTTTCTACGCTGATTTCTTAGCTAGATCGAAGTATTTACCAAATAGACACAAAACTTCCTTTAAGAAATTGTATTATTGCTGGCGGATGTGCTTCCAGACAGGGTATGCTTACTCTTCTTTTATCAGAATATAACATTTATGATCAGTTCCATCCCTTGAACTATTGGATTTAATTAAATATGTTTTATGGGTTACATCCCTTGACCTTTCAAAATTTGTCATTCAGTCACTATTTCTTGCTTGTACGTTCCTATTTCACATGGGCACTGTTGCATTTTTGACACTTTTCCCTTCCCGTTGAGCTATCGATTTGAAACTTGACAGACGGGTACTTATATATGTCCCGAATATTCACAGCAAATTTCAGACAGTTCCAACGTTTCCTTCCATCTTAAATTAATTTTCAAAGTGATGTACTGACTGAAATTTTTCCCGATGACGGCGAAATGGCAGGGGGACTTAACACTTTTGTTTAGTTGTACTTGCTTTGCCAAATTATTCAGTCTCGAGTCATTTCGACCAAATAGTCAATTTTTCAAATCGTTGTAACGGCTGTAGCCGCAATCATTTACGTTTGCGTTCTCAAAATTGTCACAGCACTTTACCGTTTGACGCTTACCAATTGATTTGGAAATTTACAATGCTATAATAGAGTAATCCATTCCGAATACTGACAGCAATTTTCAGACCTATCACACACGCCATACTATGTCTTGATTACTCACAGAAATTTTCAGAACGATCAGACACCCTATACTATGTTAAATCAATCGCTAACGTCATAGCACGGTTCCCCTATTGCTGCATCGCACCCCGATCACCCCCGATCGCGATATCGACACGAAACGTAGCAATATGACTTAGTAATGTATCTTGATTACTCACAGCAATTTTCAGAAGGATCAGACACCCCATACTATGTTAAATCAATCGCTTAATTCATAGCACAGTTCCCCTATTGCCGCATCGCACCCCGATGTCAATGGCTATTCTCTGTACGACCTGTAAGTCTTGATTCCTTGACTCCAGACACGGGTCTGTCGACTAACCCTGTGACCTAACGCATCAGCTGGCTGATGACATCACTGTCAGATAGAGATTCAAAATGAAAGGTATTTTACTATTAGATGAAATAAGTTTAACTAAAAAACAAAAAATAAACCTTCAGCTCAGGGGACAAGAAATCAGAACGGCAAAATATGAAAAAATTTAAATCTCTTTATCAACCGTGACTTAAGTTGGCAAGAAACCCTACTTTAAATAGGGGCCTATATAAATAGTTTTGCGAACAGTTGAGTCACAAGTAACTAGTAATCAACTAGGAACTAGAAATTGTTAGTGAGAACTAATCAACTGTTAGGATCACTTTCAAGAATACATAAGTAAACTACAAGACAGTTTGTTAAAAATCAGTTCCAGTCAAGGATAAAACAGGTATAGTAATCTTTTATGTTTATATTTGTACACTTCGTATCAGAGAGAGTCTTTACAAAGATTATTGATATCGGGAATGGAATGAGAAAAGTAGATACGATAGGGGAAACTTTTCAGTTGTTTTCAGTAAATTTGGTAGTGCTTAGACCATTTTTGATGAAAATTATTATTTATTTCAATACACCCCTATTGACCTCTGACCAATGTTTTAAAATAGTCAAAATTGGAGGGAGAATTTATGTACGTCACGGGAAACATTTGAAATTCATGGTGAACATTTTCGAGCTGATCCTCGCCATGAACGCATCACAGTGACTCTTTGCAAGTTTGCTACGGTCGTCGAATATAGAACTCACAGACACAAGTTTGGCCTATGGCGCTCAACGATAATAAGTACAGTTGTGCACGACACCTGCCTGGCTATTTGTGACACCGTTATACATAAAATGCAGGGGTTAGACTTAATATTGTAATATTGCTACAACAGCCAATGGGAATACTCAATGTGCAGGAGCTATAGACGAAGTGGACGTTCCAATTAAAGCACCAACAGTCAATCCGGGGGACTACATGTATTATAACCGAAAACATTTTCATTCAATCGTTTTATAAGGCTTTGTAATTGGCAAAACCGTTTTATAGACGTTATAATGCTCGAATCGGTTCATCGGTTTGTCCATTATCTGCTCTTCGAAATTGGTCACACCAGCATGTAAAAACCATCCACATAACATGGGATCAAACCATGTAATTTGTTATTGTAGTAAACATAGAACAAAGCTTGATCTGGCTTGGATTGGTGACAGCTAAATTTCTGAAATTCTTCACAAACGCATCGGTTAAATTGCCTAGCCACATGTTTTAGATTATAGACATTGGTTTAGTCCCCACATCAACTTTCATCTACTGTCATCCACCATCATCTACTGTTATGCTCCATTATCAACTGTAATCCACCATCATATACTGTCACCCACCATTATACTGTTATCCATCACCATTTACTGTCACCCACCATCATCAACTGTCATCCACCATCATCAACTGTCATCCACCATCATCTACCTTCACCCACCATCATCAACTGTCATCCACCATCATCTACCTTCATCCACCATCATCTACTGTCATCCACCATCATCTCCTGTCATCCACCATCATCAACTGTCATCCACTACCATCTAGTGTCATCCACTGTCACCCACCACCATATACTGTCACCCACCATCATCTACTGTCACCCACCATCATCAACTGTCATTCACCATCATCAACTGTCATCCACCACCATCTACTTTCGCCCACCACCATATACTGTCACCCACCTTCATTAACTGTCATCCACCATCATATACAGTCATCCACCATCATCTACTGTCACCCACCATCAACAACTGTCATCCACCATCATCAACTGTCATCCACCACAATCTACTTTCGCCCACCACCATATACTGTCACCCACCATCATCTACTGTCACCCACCATCATCAACTGTCATACACCATCATCAACTGTTACCCACCATCATCAACTGTTATGCTTCATCATTAAATTTCACCCAATGTCATACACAGACATCTAATGTCACCATCGTGATATATGAATGAGATAACGGTGCGTTTAGGGCCAGAGAAGTTGTTCCCGTCGCTAGTTTTTGATAAATGTCAAAAGCCAAATTTCGCATAAATTTTGGAATCTAAACAAAGCTGAATCATGAGTCCACCACATTAGTGGATATGATAATACATGATAATAAATGACAATAGATGATGGGGTATGACAGTACATGATAATAAATGACAATAGATGATGGGGTATGACAGTACATGATAATAAATGACAATAGATGATGGGGTATGACAGTATATGATAATAAATGACAATAGATGATGGGGTATGACAGTACATGATAATAAATGACAATAGATGATGGGGTATGACAGTACATGATAATAAATGACAATAGATGATGGGGTATGATAGTACATGATAATAAATAACAATAGATGATGGTGGATGATAGTACATGATAATAAATAACAATAGATGATGGGGTATGATAGTACATGATAATAAATGACAATAGATGATGGGGTATGATAGTACATGATAATAAATGACAATAGATGATGGGGTATGATAGTACATGATAATAAATGACAATAGATGATGGGGTATGATAGTACATGATAATAAATGACAATAGATGATGGGGTATGATAGTACATGATAATAAATGACAATAGATAATGGGGTATGACAGTACATGATAATAAATGACAATAGATGATGGGGCATGACAGTACATGATAATAAATGACAATAGATGATGGGGTATGATAGTACATGATAATAAATGACAATAGATGATGGGGTATGACAGTACATGATAATAAATGACAATAGATGATGGGGTATGATAGTACATGATAATAAATGGCAATAGATGATGGGGTATGATAATACATGATAATAAATGACAATAGATGATGGGGTATGATAGTACATGATAATAAATGACAATAGATGATGGGGTATGACAGTACATGATAATAAATGACAATAGATGATGGGGTATGACAGTACATGATAATAAATGACAAAAGATGATGGGGTATGATAGTACATGATAATAAATGACAATAGATGATGGGGTATGACAGTACATGATAATAAATGACAATAGATGATGGGGTATGATAGTACGTGATAATAAATGACAATAGATGATGGGGTATGATAATACATGATAATAAATGACAATAGATGATGGGGTATGACAGTACATGATAATAAATGACAATAGATGATGGGATATGATAGTACATGATAATAAATGACAATAGATGATGGGGTATGACAGTACATGATAATAAATGACAATAGATGATGGGGTATGATAGTACGTGATAATAAATGACAATAGATGATGGGGTATGATAATACATGATAATAAATGACAATAGATGACGGGGTATGACAGTACATGATAATAAATGACAATAGATGATGGGGTATGATAGTACATGATAATAAATGACAATAGATGATGGGGTATGACAGTACATGATAATAAATGACAATAGATGATGGGGTATGATAGTACGTGATAATAAATGACAATAGATGATGGGGTATGATAATACATGATAATAAATGACAATAGATGATGGGGTATGATAGTACATGATAATAAATGACAATAGATGATGGGGTATGAGAGTGTATATTGATGGATAACAGAAGATCATTGCAATTGATGAGGGAGGGGGCCCAAGAGTGCTGTTTTTTTTTTAAATAACGAAATGAAGCAATTATTTCCAGGGCTTTTAGGTGATTTTTTATTTCAGTTAGTACTACTTTCCAAAATTAAAAATGATAATTATAAACGGGGAAACACTAGCAAATGCATTTCTAGTTTCTTACCTTTTAGCATAATTATAACTTGACCGTTTTTCTCTAGGCGTGTGGTATGTCGAGTTCGAAACCGGAATGGTTGACCGAAATCTGTAAGATATTAGTAAATGATTTGGACCAGTTAGATGTATTAGTTGTCCATTTAGGTAAGAACCAGAGTTTCAATTTAAAATTTAGAAAAATATTTCTTCTCTAAACCTGGTAATAAACATATCTAACATAATACGCAACACATATCTTCGTCAGTGTTGTCAGTTGTGTTTCTATATTTATTTGAAATATGTCCAAACAAAAAATACGTTTCGCAACTCATTATTGTTTGCGTATTATCGGTATATCGTTGCAGGATGTTTGATGCATAGGGAAACAGAAATTGTTAGACATAAAGCGTTTTAAAAGGTGGGATTACAAATTTTTTTGTTTTTTCTTCAAGGGAGCCCGAACTTTAACGCAACTGTAAAATGGGCCCAGTTAAACAACCAACAACGTTGGTGCGAACAAAATACACATCCAAGTCTGACACAAATTATATCAGCTTTACAAGATATGAATAAACCTGACATAGTCAATTTAATTAAGAACAAATTCATACTTAAAAAACAACTTATTTTGGAAAATGAAGGAATTGAAAACCTTCGTTCGTATAGCTACAAAGTTGGAGGTAAGTTTCCTTTACAATTCACCGACAACTCAATATACCATTCTCCCTCTTTATCAAACAAGGCACTCGAGAAGGCACAATTACTGAAAGTTGAAAACGAAAACCGGTAAAATTCATATATAATATGATCACCAATGATTGCAAAATCCCAAAATATTTAATATGAATTATTGGCCTTGTTCTGTCTAAAGACGATTCTGTGGCGCTTTCAACGGCGAATATTGGCGACAATAACACCCACTGTACGATATCGGACGCTTCCTACAGGCCAATGCCACGCTTATGGCGACCCAAATATGCTCTGAGCGACATTTCGTCAAGTAGCAGCTCATTAAGGACGCCGGAGCTATAAGTGAGCAATTGTCTTTTTCAGAGGAACATGATATACTGCGTTCGAAGCCTGAATGGATGATTATAATCTGTAAGATGTTGATAGATAATCTAAACCAAATTTATCCATTTGTCGCCCATGTAGGTCAAGAGTCTTTATCCAGAAATAATAAAATATTCCCCATCGTTATTGCTGGCGGAATCCTGATCTTAAACATTAATCTTTTTTAAGATCGCAAAATACGAAACTCTGATTAAACAAGTTCTATTTTAATATTTCTTTTTAACATGACAAGTAACAGTTGTTATACAATCTTTATCGGTGTTCTCCATTACGTTTTTACGTTTAAATAACATACATTGTATTTCCAAACGAAAAATTTGTTTTGCAATTTAATATTGTTTACGATTGAAAAATGTCTGTATAACACAACTGGTGCACATGTAACTAGAAATTGTTGAAAATAAAGTTAGTTTTTTTTTTAATGAATTTTCACAAGAGGGTGGTTACCAGTTGTTTTGTTATTCTTTTAGGGACCCCGAGATTCAATGCAGCCGCCAAATGGCAACAGTTAAATAACCAACAAATAGAAACACAATTTTATAAGTTCATGAACGTTTGGTACGAACAGTCTGAAGATCCAAGTCTGACTAAAATTTTATCGGCTGTAGGCGCTATGCGCAGAAATGACATAGTCAATTTTATGTTGAACGATGTCAATCTTAAAAAACAATTTCACATGGAAATTAAGAGAACGTTAACTGAAACTGTTGAGTATATTTCTTCTATACTAATCTGAAAATTTAATAAAACAATATCTCAACCAATAGACGAGAGGTTAGATTGTTTCAAACTGATGGGCTTTAGTTTGTTATGAACAAGATGTGATTTAATTTCGTAAATGCGACAATCAATTGTTTCTAGATAGGAGTGAAAGTCTCTTAGAGACTCTCTTATTTGCTCGATTGTTGGTGTATAAATACAGTTATTTAGGTTATTGTTAGTGCGTGCAAAATATAAAATTATCTTTGAATACAATAATCTGTAACAATTCGATTAAATTTGGTGCATTCGGGCCATTATCATTAATGTTAGTGAAAATACAAATATGGTTGAGCAATGATATTTGTACTTAGCCTGGTCCAGGAAACATAAACACGAATAGTCAATTTTATTAATATTTATTCTACCTAAAAATATAGCAGACTACTCGTTCCTATGTGTTGAATCAGATGAATACAAAAATATTATGTTTTTGTTTTAATAAGTATAATATAATGTGTAGTATAATGTTTTTGTTATATTATGTTTTTGTTATATAATGTTTTTGTTATATTAAGTATAATATAATGTGTAGTATAATGTTTTTGTTATCTTATGTTTTTGTTATCTTATGTATAATATAATGTTTTTGTTATATAATGTTTTTGTTATATTAAGTATAATATAATGTGTAGTATAATGTTTTTGTTATCTTATGTTTTTGTTATATAATGTTTTTGTTATATAATGTTTTTGTTATATAATGTTTTTGTTATATAATGTTTTTGTTATATTATGTTTTTGTTATCTTATGTGTAATATAATGTTTTTGTTATATAATGTTTTTGTTATATAATGTTTTTGTTATATTAAGTATAATATAATGTGTAGTATAATGTTTTTGTTATCTTATGTTTTTGTTATCTTATGTGTAATATAATGTTTTTGTTATATAATGTTTTTGTTATATTAAGTATAATATAATGTGTAGTATAATGTTTTTGTTATATAATGTTTTTGTTATATAATGTTTTTGTTATATTATGTTTACACCGCCAAACTATCATGTCAAACTGATTGTAGCAGTTTTCGGTTGTTCGAAGGTGATTTAAGCATCATTTTGCTGGACAAGTTTTAAACTTACATAAACTTACGTCTAAACTCAAGGTTAACTTACAAAAGAACAGTGATTGTCAGTTTAATAAATTAATAGAATAGGAATAAAGGAATTTTTGCCCTATTCTGTACTGAAAGAGAAGCATGTCAACTGTATTGAAAAACATAAAACACTCTGTATAATTGAGGAGTAGGAAAATGAAATAATGTCCTTATTTACATTGAAAGAGCGGAGTTTTCGAGGGGAATACAGTCGTTGCTGACATTTGCTGATTAGTGTTTTGGGTCCAAGTTAATTTATCATCAATTATTGTTCCAAGGTATTTATATTCAATGGTTGGATCTCTGTAATTTTCTTCAATTTCCAAACAAATCTTAACTGTTTTAATTTAGCATTATATTTAATATATCTTTGAGGATTTCTATTAGATCCTTTCATTGTTGGGTTTGTTTGTATTTACAACAGATAATATATTATCACGTATAATGAATATGCATAGAGACAGTGGTATAGGTCTTATAACACAATCCAACTACGCCTGATGATACAAAAACTTCAACTTTTGTCAACGAATCAATATCCGCTACTGCTGTCAAAAATACAGGGGTCCAACAGGGTTGTGTCATGTCGCCAGTACTATTCATTCTATACACAACTGACTGTGTAAGCATTTCAGGAAACTGTATCACTGTCAAGTTTACGGATGACGCCACTGTTGTAGGCTCATTAAACGACGACACTAATACTGATGAGCTTTACCGGTCAAACAAAATGACCAGATTTGTATGTCATAAACACAAAAATATGAAGGTTAAAACAAGAATAATCACCAGATTGATACAATTCATCAGTTCCAATGAGGTAACTAATGAAAACATTATATAATAATAACAGTTCAAGGGAGGCAACTATTATAAATATTATTTTAGATACTGCCGGACTTCAAAGTAGTTATTTGAACAATTATTTTCTTGATTTTTACCGTTCCAAAGAATTGAAAATTAAAAAGTATAAAAGCTATTGTTTGAGCAAATTATAAAATTTTTTGAATTTTTTCGATATGTATCAAGAGAATTGGAATATCAGACTCAAACTAGTATTGATAGTCTTAGAATGTCTTTGCGTTGATTAAAATATAATCTTTTGTAAGTCTACAATGAAAATTTTCCTCTAGAAGTCACAAATTTTGGCTAAACATTGACTGTTGTAAAAACAAATGTTGAAGACATTATGTGTGCTCATGCTCTTAATTGTTTTTTTATCAACGCAAAGAAATTCTAAGACTGACGGTACTATTTTGAGGCTTGTATTCTAATTCTCATAAGAATAATGAGAAAAATTCAAAAAACTGACCATCATATTTTGACTTCATAATTTTACAGACATTAGATATCTTTTGGCACAACTCCTTATCAACTAAAACAAATCTGCTTCTTGCATGGTGGTAGAATTGTTTTGTCCATAATGAATTGATTAAGTGGTATCTCGTGATTTTTACTTATAGGGTACAGACGAGATTTTAGAATTGTTTTGCATGTACTGGTTTTTAACATTTACACAAATCAAATTATAATATCAAACTGATTGCAGCAGTTTTCTGTGGTTCGAAGGTGATTCAAGCATACTTTGCTTAAAGTGGCCACGAATGGTAGCCTGTAGGTTGAGCACGCGCTAATTATTAAATAACATGATGGCCAGAAAATGTAAATCAGTTTTCTGCATGTAATTAGCGTAAGTATTTTTTGGTGCATTTTCATATATCTTTACATTATCATTGTGGGACTCATTTCCCAGTTTCTCTCTTTGTTATCATATTATCAATTATTTTATTCGAGATTTACACAGGGCACACAGCTTAGACTGTAATAGTTGCAGCGATTATTCAACTTCTACAGCAAGGACTTAGTTAATGGATATAAATTGGAACATTGTTGTAAAACCGGAAGTGGTACAGATCAACATGTGCAAAAAGTAGAAAATCGGCTCTAGAAGTGGCATTTTTTGGGCTGATTTTGTTCGGGTTTTCATTTTTGAAATATACATATATCTCATTTGATAGCATTTAAAAAGAGCAAATTTGTCGCACACTTTCTTCGGTCAACTTTTTTATTTTTCAGATTCTTAATGTGCTCTTTATGCTCTTTCCAGTGATATATAACAATAGTTTTTTTACAAGCTTGACAATTGTGATTTTTTGAAAATTGAGTTTTTTTTTTGGTTTTTTTTACAATATATCGCTTCTTTGAGATGGGTGTGGGTGTATCTTTTGACCTGTATGCTTTACAAATTGTACATTTGTTCAAAAAGGGACATATACGTCATTCATTTGGTCAGTTTGTCCGAAAAGATCAGTTTTATAGTTAAAAAAAAGAAAAGGTTTTAGAATTTCCATATTTTCAATTTTTGACCTAAACTCTTGTAGGATCAAAGGTCATTGGCCTTGGCTATCTATTTTTATATTCATATTTGATGTTAGACGCCAGCTTCCAGTTTTATAGCCTTATGCATTTTGAAAATTTGATTATATCTCGTGACCTAAACCTTTGTTGACTTTCCCCTTTTTATGGTCAAAGGTCATTGACCTTGGCTATCTGCCGATGCTTTCATTGGTGATGTCTTACGTCTACTTTCGGGTTCACAACCGTCCAAAGATATAAAATGTGGTAACTTTACACTGTTCTGGCACGTGAACAAGTTTTAAACTTTCATGATGTTACGTCAAAAACTCAAGGTTAACTTACAGTGATTGTCAGTTATACCGAGATTTTGATTATAGGAATTCTCTTGCTCTCGGTGATTTGTTTTTATATATATTTAATTATATATATTACATGTTGAGGTAATTGTTCTATATAAGATAAATCTTTCTTACCCTTTCGGGAATTCTTGTTTAATGCAAGACTTGACAAAACAAAAGGGAACTAAGATATAATACAGAGTTTGGACATTCGAAACATATCAAATATACAACTAGAGAAGAAATATCACAGATTGATTTGGCGTTTGTTTAATAAATTAATAGAATAGGAATAAAGGAATTTTTGCCCTATTCTGTACTGAAAGAGAAATGAAATGAAATGAAATTAAATGTATTAAGGAGCATCAGCACCAAACGGGCTATATAGCTCCAGAATACGTTAATATAATACAAAAACTAAAACAATAAAACACCTATCAATATCACATAAAGGTCACATAGTGACAACAAAAAAAGACGATAAAAACCATATCACAGAAAAAGTCATTTAATGACTACAAAAAAACACTAAAAACAATATCACAGGTAATACACCACATGGTGGTATTAAAAACCAACAAATATTTAAAATTCAAAATAAAGACCTGCTTGTTTTTAAAAAGCCACAACCTTCTCATAAAGAGAAGGTTGAGCAAAAAGCTGAAATAAAGAAACAGCACGGTAGTGCTGTGATCTTATAGGTTTGAGATGCTTACACTCAATCAGAATGTGTTTCACTGTCAGGCAGATCTGGCAGTGCTCACAGACTGGTTGAGGCTCTCGCTTGAGCAAATAACAGTTGGTGAGGTGATTATGTCCAAGACGAGAGCGACACAAAACAACTTCATTTCTCCTGTTGGCACAATAGGAGGATGGCCAGTCTCCTAGGAGAGGCTTAATGGCATGAAGCTTGTTAGTGTCTGCAGCATCCCATCTTTGCTGCCATCGATGTTGAATAAAAGACCTTATCACCGATTTAAAATCGGTGAAAGGCAAAGAAAAGGAGGAAACAGGCAGTGACAAAGGAGCCTTAGCCGCCGCATCTGCCATGTCATTCCCCCGTATATCCATGTGACTGGGGAGCCAACAAAGGACAATGTCCTTTTTCGGCCCAGAGAGCTTGTATATATCCCCGATTATTGGGTGTACAAGCTGGATGTTATTAATAGCTTGTAATGAGGACAAAAAATCAGAAAATATAATACATTTTTTTAATGATGTAGAGGACTGAAAAAACTCAAGTGCCTGTAAAATGGCAATGAGTTCTGCAGTAAATATTGAGGCTGCTGGTGGAAGAGCTACAGATAGAACTTCGGATGGTGTAACTGTAGCGGCTGCTACCTTATCACCATCCTTAGACCCATCTGTAGAGAAAGGAGCAAAATCCATATTTTTGCCTCGTACAGGTGTTCAAAGTAAGGTCTAAATACGGGGCAGTAAGCAGGATGTTGTGGCAATGATGCTATCTTGATAGCGTACTGCAATTAAAGCCTGTCACGTCTGTCGTACAATGAGGGCTCATTAGCCTCGACGTACAGACTTTCAACTGGAGTAGTGCGAAACGCACCTAAACTGATTCTAAGTCCTTGATGGTGTATGGTATCAAGCTCTTTGATATAGGATTGACGAGCCGAACCATACACCTGACACCCATAATCGAGCTTGGAACGAACCAAAGCTCGATATAATCGGAGGAGGACCTTTCGGTCCGCTCCCCAGTCAGTATTGGATAAGACTCTCAGTATGTTGAGAGCTTTCAGACATTTGTTCTTGAGGATTTTAATATGGGGACGAAAAGAAAGCTTGCTATCAAAAGTAAGTCCCAAAAATTTAAATTCCCGCACAACAGGAATGACAGCACCATCCACCTTTAGTTCTGGATCTAGGTGCAATCCTCTTCGTTTACAGAAATGCATGCAGACGGTCTTGGATTTCGAAAACCTAAATCCATTGTCAGTTGCCCATTGCTGTAAGTTGTTTAAGCAAAGCTGCAACTGACGCTCAATCGTCTGCATGTTTGTAGAGCAATAACACATCTGAAAGTCATCAACATACAGAGAGCCATCAACCCCCCGTCCAAGGCACGACGTGATGGAATTAATTTTAATAGAGAACAGGGTAACGGATAATATGCTACCCTGTGGAACTCCATTATCCTGAGGAAAAGGATCTGAAAAAATGGAGCCAAGTCGAACCTTAAACGTCCTATCATGTAGGAATGTACTGAAAGAGAAGCATGCCAACTGTATTGAAAAACATAAAACACTCTGTATAATTGAGGAGTAGGAAAGTGAAATAATGTCCTTATTTACATTGAAAGAGCGGAGTTTTCGAGGGGAATACAGTCGTTGCTGACATTTACTATAAATTCAATTAGTGTTTGGGGTCCAAGTTAATTTATCATCAATTATTGTTCCAAGGTATTTATATTCATTTACTAAATCAACAGGCTGGTTATTTATGATCAATGGTTGGATCTCTGACTTATTTCTCCGGAAGTCTATGATAAGTTCTTTGGGTTTTTTTTTTGTGTTTAATTGCATAAAGTTTGATACACACCAGTCTACGAAATTTGAAACATCTGACCGGTAAAGCTCATCAGTATTAGTGTTGTCGTTTAATGAGCCTACAACAGCGGCGTCATCCGTAAACTTGACAGTGATACAGTTTCCTGAAATGCTTACACAGTCATTTGTGTATAGAATGAATAGTACTGGCGACATGACACAACCCTGTTGGACCCCTGTATTTTTGACAGCAGTAGAGGATATTGATTCGTTGACTTTTAACATACTGGATTCGATTTGTGAGAAAGTCACCAATCCACAGTATTAGAAATGGATTAACATTCAAGAGTTGAAGTTTTTGTATCATCAGGTGTAGTTGGATTTTGTTATAAGACCTATACCACTGTCTCTATGCATATTCATTATACGTGATAATATATTATCTGTTGTAAATACAAACAAACCCAACAATGAAACGATCTAATAGAAATCATCAAAGATATATTAAATATAATGCTTAATTAAAACAGTTAAGATTTGTTTGGAAATTGAAGAAAATTACAAAGAATGAGAAAGGTCTTAATTTTAAATATGTTCAAATATTCAAAATTTATCTCAGAAATACGTTGTCTTCTAGGAGCCCCTGGCAGCACCCTTTGGGCCTCGCCACGGAGAGACACCCCTCAGCCATTTTCTAGATACACCCCTGAAAGAAACTATCGAAGTTCTCATGTCAATAATAACAGCACGTTAAATCTTTAAAAAGTACAAAAGGTATAATACATGTAATCGTTATTTTTATATTACATGACTGTATATAGAATCGTTATTTTTATAATGCTGGGAAAACCCATTGACTTGAATATTATAGCTTGTCAGCTTGTGTAATCTTTAAGTTTTAATAATACGAAGTCATAGGTTATAGATATTGATCTTCCTTCGTGAAGACTACTAGTACCTACTTTATCAACTGTTTGGGATAATTTTTAGTAAATTATTAGTAAATAGCAAGAGACTAGGAAAAAAGAGGTATAGTAATCGTGTATATGTTTATATCTGAACACTTCGTGCTCTACGGGAGTGAAAATTCAAATAAAAATCTTAAGTGTCAAATGTTTCCTCGTAAATGACGCCCTTACATTGAGTATAGAATCATCAACGGTATCTAATATAGGCAATCGTTTGATTCGAATTGGAAAGGTCTAAAGTATTTTTTCTTCTTTTCACCGGATTCAAATCTACTTTCATCAAACCGTTACGTTTTGAACGACTCTGTTGTGGTAATGTTACGTCGTTACTTCCTGTATTACTCTATGACGATAATGTTACGTCGTTACGTTTTGAATGACTCTGTTGTGGTAATGTTACGTCGTTACTTCCTGTATTACCCTATGACGATAATGTTACGTCGTTACGTTTTGAATGACTCTGTTGTGGTAATGTTACGTCGTTACTTCCTGTATTACTCTATGACGATACTGTTACGTCGTTACGTTTTGAATGACTCTGTTGTGGTAATGTTACCTCATTACTTCCTGTATTACTCTATGACGATAATGTTACGTCGTTACGTTTTGAATGACTCTGTTGTGGTAATGTTACGTCGTTACTTCCTGTATTACTCTATGACGATACTGTTACGTCGTTACGTTTTGAATGACTCTGTTGTGTTAATGTTACGTCGTTACTTCCTGTATTACTCTATGACGATACTGTTACGTCGTTACGTTTTGAATGACTCTGTTGTGGTAATGTTACGTCGTTACTTCCTGTATTACTCTACGACGATAATGTTACGTCGTTACGTTTTGAATGACTCTGTTGTGTTAATGTTACTTACACTACGAAGTAACATTACCACCATAGGGTAATTCAGAAAGTAAAGACGTAACATTACTAACATAGGGTGAAGTCGGGAAGTATTGAAGTATAATTACCAACATACAGTAATTCAGAAAGTAACGGCGTAACATTACCACCATAAGGTAAATCAGAAAGTATTTCATAAATAATTCTAATGGTAATAATATCAACAATAAGATCTTGACAATTTTTTCAGAGGCGCCTGAAATGTCGAGTGTGGAGCCCAGATGGATTCATAAAACCCGTAAGATATTGATAGATCATCTGAATCAGGTTTATTTCTTTGTTCCCTTCTCACAATTATAACACAATTAACTAACAAACAGTTAACCCTTTATACTGAACATGATTACAACTGATCACTTCGATTACTCTGAATTTGTTCACATGACAAAGATAATATTTCACTCTTTATTCGTTCAACTCAAACAGAATAAAAATACATTTCCTTCTTATGTCAGTTTAAAAACATTTTAAGTTCTCCGACATTCTGTTTATTACGAATTAGAGCACTAAGCAGTTGACCAGACACGCAAAAAAATCTGTATAATTCGACATCTAGTCATCTTAATCACTTATCGCCAATTAGATAATCCCTTGTATTATTGATAATCCAACGTAAAATCAACTTAAAACAAAAGGTACCTGATATCAATTCTGCTGATTAATCACCTCCAATGACCTCGCTTCAAGATCATTTGCCTTTAGATCAAATAGCTAGGGTCATTATTCAAGGTACTCGTGTCCTCAAAATCTTTCTCTTATATTACTGACAACATTTAAAACCAGACCATTAACATATTTTACATGATTAGTAATAATTGATATACAATCTTCATATTAGTGTTGTCAGTTGTGTTTCTACACTTATATGAAATATGTTAAAACTAAAAATACTATTCGCAATTTAAAAAAGTCGTTTCGCTACAAGAAGGTTGATACAACCACCAATAGTTGAACATAGGCTAAATTGCCCTCTTTCAGAAAAGGGGAGGGGATATTATTTGGATTGTTGTTTATCTTCTAGTAACCAACGAATTTAATGCAACCGCAAAATGGGAACAGTTAAATATAAGCACCCCACAAATAGAAACACGATTCTATAAATTCATGGACGTGTGGTTGGAAACGTCCAATCAACCAAGTCTGAACAAAATTATATCAGCTTTACAAGAGATGAAGAGGAATGATATAGTCAATATTATTGAGAACGATACCAATCTTAATGAACAATTTACTTGGGAAAATGAAAATAATGAAGGTAATGACGAAGGTAAGTTTCCTGTGTGAGTCAGTGTTTTCATACAGCTTAATGTCAAAATGTGGCTGTTGACGGAGAACGTCATAGAAGTAACTCAGGGCTATTAAACTGAAATTCAAAGGGAATGGGACATGACTCCCTAATTTCTCATTTTTTTCCCACACGGACAGAATTTGTTTCAGAGGAGGATGATAATCCGAGTGCGAAACCGGAATGGCTACAAACAATCCGTAAGATGTTGATAAACAATCTGAAGCAGCTGGATATATTTGTTGTCCATTTAGGTAAGACTTGAGTTTCCATTTATATCATAAATAATAAATTCTCTTCGATTTTACTGGCAGCATGTAAACCTAGTCATAAATATCATATCAAGTAAGCATCCACGGTGTTGGTGCTTGAACACTAATATGAAATGCGTTCTAAATCAAAATACTTTTCGTAAATCATCATGTTCACGATTGATAAAGTTTCATTTTATGTGCAGCACCATTCCGCATTCGCCAGCTTATGGAGCATGTGTGTCTCTATTGGTCGATACGCTAGAGCATGTTCTTTCTACGCTGATTTCTTAGGTAAATCGGAACATTGACGTCAATGCTACTCATACAGGGGTATTTACCAAATCGACTTTTCAGGAACGGTCGTCACCATGACCTAATCGTAGAATATGTCAAGATATTTTTATAATTTTACATAACACTTGGTTTTGTTTTTGCATGTAGTATTTAGCAAAAATGGTTTGCGTGGTTCAAGACGGAGTATGATTATTCTTTTGGACACTTGATATACCTGTTTATTATAAAATACTTCGTTATTGCGGACAAATATCAATACACGTAATCATAATATAACTTTTGTGATCATTTCCCTCCCTTGAACTGTTTAAATTAAATGAAACTATTTTCATCAGTTACTTCCCTTGAACTATTACAATTGATCGGTTAAGGGACTATTTGTTTTTCATCGTCCTATCTGGATCGTTATTTAGTACTTGGTTTAGTTATTCGCTACCGAGAGGTTGATGAATATCGAATTTGTTCAACATAAAGGTATTGTGGATATTTGTGATTGCCCTTTTTCAGGAGAGGTTTTGGGGTTAGTATTTGAATTGTTGTTTATCTTCTAGGAACTTCAGAATTCAACGCACATGCAAAATGGGAACAGTTAAGTCACATGCAAATCGATACACGATTCTTTAAGTTGATCGACATGTGGCACGAAAAACACAAAGATCCCAGTTTACAACAAATTATTACTGCATTAAAAGAAATAGGTAGAAATGATTTAGTCAATGCTGTTCAGAACGATGTCATTCTTAAAAAAAGACTTGATATAGAAAGTACGAAACAATGTGAACGAAAACCTCCAATACAAGCCATTGAAGTCTCAACCAAAGCTGAGAGAAATGAGGAACTTTGTGTTTCCTCTGATATTAACTGCAGTGATGACGGTGAGTTTCTTGTATAAGCCACAGATGTAGGCCTGATAATTACAGATTGGATCAAAGAGACAAATTAATCTTCAAGAAGCGAAGAGAGTTCAAGATTTACCCGATTTCCCCTTTGTCAATGATGCAGATCGGAGGGGCTGACATGGAAAAAGCGTCTAGTAGTTCGGAGGGGTCAATAAACCGAGACCCCGTGAATTACAGACTGTTCACGTTACAGATCCCTCGACAATTTGCAAACTTATAGTAGTAAGCTAATGTTGCGGGCACATGAACAGTTTTCGACGGTTTTTGTCGCAGATTAAAGTCTTGTCGACAGTTTCACCGACCGGATGTTGATACACCTCCAGTCAGTCGTTTACCCTATGACGATAGATCACGTTTTTATTGTAGAAAAGGACAGTCCAGGAAGATCTGTTGACAACATTTGTGCAGTAAAACCATCCCGATCATCACGTAATAATATTTTATAATATTTTCATACTATTAACCTGTTCATTTGAATCTGTATTATGTACCGGAGAACAGAAGTCTTGTGTGTGATTGTCAGATTTGTACAATGAATTAAAGATGGATTATTTTTTGCTATTTTGATAATAACATGTAGTTGAAACATAAAACTGCTAGGTCTGCATCTGTAGCATATCAAAAACTTGTCCATGCCTTTTTAAAAAAAGCTCCACTATATTCATCTCAATGAAGCTCATTCGTGTATATATTTCGATGTGATTTATACTGTAATCATCTATTAACATACAGATCATTTTTTTTTATTGTAGAAAAGACCAGTCAAGATGAAGACAAAGAAGCAGGAAGATGTGTTGACACAAGTTGTGGTCTACAACCATCCCAATCATCAGGTAATAATATATTTATTATTCAAAATTTAAATCAAGTGCCGTAACTCTCCCTGACTATCAAAAGGACAGAAATCGTGTAAACTTAATATTGGCCACTTAATATTTGTAGACTTCAAATCGATCTTTTATAGTACGATGTGTATTTATCTATATAAACACGTTCATTTAGTAGGATTCTTATCCTAAATATTTTTAGATGAATCCATTAAAATTAAAAGTACAACCGAACCTCTTCCACGCAACGAAACAGCTAAACTTCCTCCAGACAACGAAACAGGCAAACATCCTGCAGACAACGGAACAGCAAAACTCCTTTCAGACAACGAAACAGGCAAACTTCCTCCAGACAACGAAACAGCCAAACATCCTTCAGACAACGGAACAGCCAAATATCTTCCACACAACGAAACACAAGAACAAGGTATGTATAAACATGTCAATATTATCGTTTTTGTAATGCTATACGACATGTGAATATATAATGTCGGAAACTGTGATGTTATCATGTTATTTTCAATCTTACAAATAAACAAAATAATAACAAAACCCAAGGTAAATCGGTCTACAAAAATACTCTTCAGACAAATATTTGCGCATTCTTCAATACGTCGCTTTCCTTTTTCTACAAATATTCCGTTGTTTAAACACTTTTATCTCAAGTGTAAATAACCGATCAAGCAAGATATACAATTTTCCTTTCTCCCACAGACGATGAACAGAATTGGGAAACAGTATTATTGGCAAACTATTCTAGGTAATTCGAAATTTTAAACACATCTTTTTTGGCGTAATTAAATCTGAGATTTAACAGAATTTGCTCTTCAAAGACAGATTTTGTTTGACTTCGACAGCTTCGACGAAAAATGGCCTGGACTGGATGCTTAATATCTCTGTAATTGACCGAGTTTACAGTGGCAATCTGATTGGTTGTAAATCCACATCCGTTTTGGGAAAATTTATTGCTCGAAAAATATAACTACGTCAAACTACTCGAGTACGTTTGCAATTAACCCTTTTAAAACAAATTCAGCTTGATGATACTTAGATATAAATAGCATACTTTACAAATTTTTTCAGGTATAAGTTACGACGTTATTGATAATGAAAACTTTTTACAAAACAGCGAAATAACCCTTTATCTCCTTTGAAAGGGTGTAAACAGAAAATTCAATGTTGTAGACGGGTATAGTCTGGGTGTCAGAGACTATCATGTGGGCCGCCATTTTGTTTTTAACTGGAAATGTAAACAAAGCAATATGGCTGTCATGTAATAATCGATCTTTAGGCGCCCACGGCAAGTTCTGTTTTTCTTTAACAACAACACAAAAATAAAGGTTTACGATTTGTAATTTTATCGGCTTTATAGTTAATCACAACACTTGTCTTTAGGACTGCTGTTTCCTAGATCTATTGTTCGAAGAAACGATCGCGTATTGCTAAAAGAGTGCGTTCGGTTTAAAATATTGTCATTGATGCAAATTTTGGCGATCTTCTGCTAGGTTTAAAATGAAATAAAATATTATGAAGGATGTTACTTTGTTAGATCTTTGGTATTTCTACTTGTCATATAAGACTATAAAATTTAAAAAAAAACTTGCACACTAAAATAGCCAACTGGTGTAATTTATTTTATTATGATTATTATTATTATTATTATTGGTTTTCTAGGGGACTTGGAATCCGGTATATCTTTTGGTGAAAGTGGTGATTCTGAAGTTGAAAACCAGTGTTCGAATAATGTGCAAAAAATTTTGTAATATAATGTGTAATACATGAATTTTAGGGGGGGGGGGGGCGTGTGTTGTCTGTCTCAATGTCACGTTCAATTAGTATTTTAGGTGTACCCTCTCTTTAAGGCTGAAGGCACATAGAAGTATACCGTATTCGCTATTCGCTATACGCTATACGCTATTCGCTATACGCTATACGCTATACGCTATTCGCTATACGCTATACGCTATACGCTATTCGCTATACGCTATCGCTATACACTATTCGCAATACGCTATACGCTATACGCTATACGCTATACGGTGAATCACATTCGCACCTGGCTGTACACACTACTTGAAAATCAAACAAGCACGATTCTCACTATACTACACTATATTCTACTATACGCATGTATACTTCGCCTTCGATTAGTGTCCTCTTATGTGACCAGGTATTATGAAATTACCTTGTTCGATTTTAGGTATACGCGTGTCGTACAAAACGTGCACCGTATACCCGAAAAGTATACTTCTATGTGAAGTATTTTTGGTGTACCCTCTGTTTAAGGGGACTCAGCCTTAGGGAAACTCTTTAAAGTTTGATGTTTATATATGTGAATAATTTTAGGTTGTGGTTAATCTAGAATGCATTAACATGTAAGTTTAATAGTTTCAAAGCATGCTTAGCACGTGTGTGTATATCACAGGGTATATAAGGCTTGAGATATTTAGTTTCATGGCTCATTTTGATGTAATCAGAGTTGCTCTGCTCGTTTCGTTGTTTCATCGTAGTCGTAGATGTCTCAATAGAAATCCATTAGTTTCATCAGCTCTACTTTTGTAATGAAGATTTCGAATTCTGAGTGGTTTTGTATATTTTTATGTCTATGTTTATTAAAATTGTATAATGTATATGTGATGTTTCCTGCTTAGTAAATTAGTTAATTTATACGTCTCTTATTATTGGGTCTTCTTTGAGGTGATTCTGAAGTACAAAGCATTCTGTCAGTCCATCTTGTGACATCGTCGTCACCCATGTCCGTCCGTCCACAATGGCTCGTAAACACTCAAGAAGGTACAATTCTTGATTGAATTTGTCGAAAGTTGGTATGGTTGTTTGTAATCACCCAAGGATGAAAACTATTGAAAATCAGAAGAATCGAAAAATATTTGGTATGAGTTATTGTTCTTTTTTTTATAACACTTTCAATTTTTAGCCCGTCAACACAAGCGCAATTCTTGACCGATTTTGACGAAATTTTGTGAAATTGTTTTTTTTATCACCCATGGATGAACCCTATTGAAAATAAAAAATGTTTAATAGGAGTTATTGACCTTGTTCTTGGAAACGCTTTAAAGTGTTAGCTCATAAACACTAAAAGGCAGGATTCTTGCCGGATTTTGACAAAACTTAGTAGTATTCAGTATTGTCTCAAAAAGTTCAAAAGTGTATGACTGAAAGTTGAATATTTCATACTGGTGATAGTTACTGTACTGCCAAATATTTTTATTCAAAATCAAGGCTGTCAGTGGGCGTATATTACCTTGCCTGGCAAGCTATATTTATTAGCTTTTATTTTTAATAGAGTCACTTCAGTTAGGGGCTACAGCCCTTCTGAATGTTGGTCAAATTAACTAACCTTTTGACCAAACTCGATGGCGCGCTGGCATTTTGTTTATCAGGTTACATCAAAAGGTTAAATGAAATGATCTATGTGATAACGTATTCTGGTTGTCAGGGGCAGTATATCGGACAGACGGAATATTTGACAGGAGGGTCCATAAATCACAAATTAAACATCCAGAATATAGAATGATATCTGTGAGCACATACCTGGGCCATTGTACCCGTGATCTAATTAAATTCAAAATATTTCCGTTCTATTAGCTCCTGGGCAAAGGGTGGATTTTAGAAAAGGAATATTTAACTTACAAATTTAAACCTTTTTTAAATAGATGATGAAGACTTTGAAAATTGATCCATAAACACACTTTTGCAGGGAGAGAAGAGGAGTGTTTATACTGCATCTGCGTTTTCTTTAATTAGTTATCTCCCTTAGTTTGAATATTTTTGTTCAGAAATTTTCTCCCAATATTAACAAGAAATGAATGTTTAATCCCGGGAAAGGTCGAGATAATTTTTCAACCCGATTTCCCCGTCAATGATGCAGGTAAGAGAGGCTGACATGGAAAAATCGTCTAGTCGTCGGATTGGACAATTAACTGAGGCACAGTGTGCTACAGGCTGTGCACATTAAAGATCCCTCAAGTCGAATAGTAAGCTAACGTCCATCTCATCATTATTTTTGGTTGGGTCAGGATTTAGTTTATACGAAGTCTGTTTTATTTTATTAAAGAGGCTGGGCTAGTAGACTACTAAAATCCTGTATTGTTTGATAATATTTTACCCGCAACCTCCGTAACATCCCTTCCCAACCTCCCTTTAACAAAATCTCATAGAACCTTTTTTTTCTAAAATGAAATTTCATAAAAAGGCTAAATTAGAAAGTTATACCTATTCCCTTTTCACAATGTCCATAGAGGGTATGTTTTACTTTACTGGTTTTGTATACGCTGAGGAACAGCATGGGCATTACGAACTCTATTTCTATTTCTTACTGCACATGGGGCCTCGGTCAAATATCCCAGCTTAACGACTTTTCAAGCCAGTCTCTCTGAATAGCATTACTAATGTTTGGAAACAAAATAAAACATAATAATTTATCAACCCATCTGTTGTTCAGAGATGTGGATGTTCTAAAACTGGAAATTATATTTATGTCTATTTTTAATATAAAACATGATTTATGTACATGTGAATAGAAAATGAATAAATTCTAAAAAATGATATGTGAAAATAGAAAACAGAATTTTATACGGTGGTTCGTTTAGGACAATTAAAAAAAGTTAATTTTTTTTATATGCATTAAGATTTAAAAAAAAAAGTAATTAAAAGAATATAAATAATCAACAACCGAATTTACTCCTCTCGAAGTACTGGCCGCCGACAACAGTCGTCGGGCCTCATTTTCCAAGTTTCATTACACTCGATTGAAAATAGTAACTTGCATTGTTCTCAAGAACAAATTTTGGCACGTTATAAGAAAGTCAAGGGCAATAACTAGAAAAAACTATTCATCAAAGAATCTTCTCAACATTATAAATGATCATACTAAGTTTCCTTCAAATTCATTGAAAACTGTAGTTTAATTGTGCTCACGGATAAATTTTAACGCTTTTAACTAATACAAGGGCAATAACTCAAAATACGTCAATCGAAATTTCGTCACATTCAAACTTGTCTTAGATGTCATCAATATAAATAATCATACGAGATTTCTTTACAATCCGATGAAAACTGTAGTCTCTATAGTGCTCACATTCAATGATGACCGACGGACAGGGACGACAAAAATATAAATAAACTTAAATCATACCTAAAAAAAAAAACAAACAACAAATGTCCAAAACAAACCACTGTAAATTCGAAATTCGAAATTTGATAAGCATCAATTTGTTATCCTTTTGCATATTTTTGCATAACAACAACTTGGGTTCTGATAATAAGTCATTCTCCGTCCAGTTTAACCAGACCAATATAGTTGAGAGTGGGAAGCTTCGACACAACATCCTCTAGTGAGGCTCTGACATACACCTCATCATTGACCTCCATCTCAAACACACCAGATATATAACTAGTGTGAAAATCAAACATGGTGTTCCCGGTGTTGACCGATTTTGTCAATAAAATATAAAATCTTCGAGTTCCCTCTAATGCTATTTTAATTTCTATCGACGTTTCTTTTATGTATACCAATATCGATAACACTACTGGTTTAACGGCAGTTCGTAAAGCTTTTAATAGAAACCCAGATCCAAACAGACCCGACGATGCAATTCTACAGCTTTTAGAGATTTGTCTTAGTCGAAACGATTTCACATTGAATGGTAAAACATATTTACAAACTTCAGGGACAGCAATGGGCAAACGATTCGCCCCTTCGTACGCAAACCTTTTCATGGCAGAGTGGGAACGTGAGGTGTTGCCCCTCTGTCCATTTGACCCACTTTTTTACGGACGCTTTTTGGATGACATTTTTATGGTTTGGACTTATTCTATCGAACAGTTTTGGGAATTCTTTGAAATTCTCAACAACCACCATCCTCCTATCAAACTAACCGCAAACGTGAGTGACAAAAGCATAGACTTTCTCGATACCACAGTCTTTAAGGGAGATTCCATAGCAGAAACAAATAAACTGGATATTAAAGTGTATTTCAAAGAAACTGATACTCATCAACTCTTGCACAAGAGCTCCTTTCACCCAAAACATACCTTTTCTAGTATAATTAAGTCACAAGTTTTACGATTTCATCGAATTTGTACAAGATCTTCTGATTTCAACCAAGCCTGTACGATTGTTTTCTCAAAACTGAAAGAGCGTGGGTACTCTAAACGATTTTTACGAAACATAAAAAATTCCACCTTAGCACAGATAGCAGATAAAAACAGACTTTATGCCGAAGTACCTCCAGGTTTAAGAAGTGCTCTATGTTTGTCCAGTAGATGCAAAACATGTCCCTTTATATCAGAAACTCATTATTTTGTAAGCAACTCTACGAATAAAAGGTACCCGATCCAGGAACATCTAACATATGAACATTCGAATGTAATATATTTAATTTCATGCAAGAAATGCCCCAAACAATATGTAGGAGAAACTAAGAATAATTTACGAACTCGCTTTAATGCTCATAGGTCAGACATCAAATTAAAGAAAGACAAGCCTGTTTCTAATCATTTCAACCTCGACGACCATTCAATAGACGATCTCACCCTAATCCCAATTGAGCGTATAGAAATTGACTTGCCCGAATATGAAACTACCAAATTCCGTCAATCTAGGGAGGCCCATTGGATTGAGACATTGAATACAGCAAGACCTATAGGACTAAATATTCATCATAATGTAGGCATAGCACCCTTTGTTGTCCCGTTTAATACAACCAGCAATCGAGCAAGCAAGATAGTTCATGCCCACTATAAGAGCCTTCAAGAGAAATTCCCCCATGTCTATAAGCAGAAAATGATAGTTGCATATTCAAAAAATAAGAACTTAAATGATAATATTGTTCATAGTAAACTAAAAACAATCAGTACATGACAGATACTATACTTCTCGCCCATCGGGCGAGTTATTTTTTCTAATTTCAGATCAGAATAAGAACAGAAGAAAACCCAATATCAAGACCCTTAATCCTAACTTCTAAATAAAGTGTCTGCTCCACCCTAGGCCTGTACATTTGGGAGAATCAAACCCTCCCTTCCCCGAAATTTAATATAAAACATGATTTATGTACATGTGAATAGAAAATGAATAAATGCTAAAAAATGATATGTGAAAAAAGAAAACAGAATTTTATACGGTGGTTCGTTTAGGACAATTAAAAAAAGTTAATTTTTTTATATGCATTAAGATTTAAAAAAAAAGTAATTAAAAGAATATAAATAATCAACAACCGAATTTACTCCTCTCGAAGTACTGGCCGCCGACAACAGTCGTCGGGCCTCATTTTCCGACTCTCATCTTCTGAGGCAGCTGATTGGTGATGGGCCAGTGGATGTAGAGTATTCTTCTCGGGCTTTGGTCTTTGCTGTCGTCTATATCTCAGATCCACACTGACTTGATGTTGGATGTTGAACAAAATAGTTGTGTGTGCCTTGTCGATTCTCTAAAATTTAACAGTTTCACTCATGTATCGACGTCGAATGACAATGTTAGAGTTAGATGCCTTTTTTAGATTTGCTTCTTCCGTTTCTGTAATACCATGTTTTACAGCAGATGCCCAACCATCCTCCTTTATCCGGGCTTTGGACCGGCAGGGATTGTTCCAAAATTTTACACCCAGGCGGAGTTGAAATTTTTATCAAATAATATAGATTGCCAATACGCCCACATATTTCTAGATTCAAAAGAATAGACTGATTAGTCTGTTCAGTCCAATGCAATGAATCAGAAAATTCTCATTTCAAAAGGAATCAACTTCTAACTCAATCTCATCATTACACTCACAAGAGATGTCCAACATCTTCGAAAATTGTCAAATTGAAAGTTGTTTAAAGCTATCAATTCCAATCATCACACCAAGTTTCAAATTCACAATTGCAGCTTCTATTGTGTTGACAACATATTTTTCAAGCGTTTCAACAAAGTCAAGAGCAATAACTCTCCGAAATAGTTCTTCAAAATTTAACATCAATTCTAATGATCACACTAAATTTAATTAAAATTGATTGAAAATTATAGAATTTGACGAATTTAACCAAGTAAAAGGCAAGAACTAAAAGACCGTTCGTCGAAAAATCCTTAGTTCGAATTTGTTTAAGATGTAATCAATTCCAAAATGTTCACACCAAGTTTCATTACACTCGATTGAAAATAGTAACTTGCATTGTTCTCAAGAACTTATTTTGGCACGTTATAAGAAAGTCAAGGGCAATAACTAGAAAAAACTATTCATCAAAGAATCTTCTCAACATTATAAATGATCATACTAAGTTTCCTTCAAATTCACTGAAAACTGTAGTTTAATTGTGCTCACGGATAAATTTTAACGCGTTTAACTAATACAAGGGCAATAACTCAAAATACGTCAATCGAAAGTTCGTCACATTCAAACTTGTCTTAGATGTCATTAATATAAATAATCATACTAGGTTTCTTTACAATCCGATGAAAACTGTAGTCTCTATAGTGCTCACATTCAATGATGACCGACGGACAGGGACGACAAAAATATAAATAAACTTAAATCATACCTAAAAAAAAAAACAAACAACAAATGTCCAAAACAAACCACTGTAAATTCGAAATTCGAAATTTGATAAGCATCAATTTGTTATCCTTTTGCATATTTTTGCATAACAACAACAACTTGGGTTCTGATAATAAGTCATTCTCCGTCCAGTTTAACCAGACCAATATAGTTGAGAGTGGGAAGCCTCGACACAACATCCTCTAGTGAGGCTCTGACATACACCTCATCATTGACCTCCATCTCAAACACACCAGATATATAACTAGTGTGAAAATCAAACATGGTGTTCCCGGGGGGTCTCTTAGGTAGAGTGTACATATCCTGTAGAAGTTTCTCTATTCCATCGTTTGGTATTCGCCGGTTGTATCTTTCTACTATATGACACAGTAAATTCAGTCCCAATGGCCAGTTGGTCCCCTGAATGACCTTGAAATAGATCTGGCTGTAAATCAGGTACAGTCCTCTGGTTTGGATGATCAGATGATCCCTTCTGAGTTCCACTCCTCGTAGCAGAGACAGAGATCTTCTTGGTAACACCTCCAATGTTCTGGTAGGTGGAAGGTCCTGGACTTCTAAAAGAAGATTTAATATAATTTCAGTGAAATTGGCTGGGATTTCTTTAATCTGTGATTCCAGAATCTACTATTGTTATCGGCAATTCCGTCATCTATTAATAATAATGGGAATTCCAAAATGCATTATTAGCACCAGAAATTCCAAAATCTATTAATATCAACAGCAATTCCATCATCTATTAATATCAACGGTAATTCTATCATGTATTATTAGTAACGGGAATTCCATCATGTATTATTAGTAACGGGAATTCCATCATGTATTATTAGTAACGGGAATTCCATCATGTATTATTAGTAACGGGAATTCCATCATGTATTATTAGTAACGGGAATTCCATCATGTATTATTAGTAACGGGAATTCTATTATCTATTAATCATCACCATATTCAGAAAGTGTCGAGTTTTTACAGATTGGTAAGTCTATTTTTATGAATGCTAAAGAATCTCAAACTGCCCAAACACAGCTTTAAGCTAAGATTCTATATACACGTCATGCGTCATCCGTCATGCGTTAAAAATCGAAATGGTTGGTTTAAGAGAGTATGATTCCATATATGCGGAAGCAGCATACATCAAATGGTCTCCGTCATGCGTCAAAAAAAATTATTCATAAATGAGGACGTATTTCAATCATAAATGACGAAGTATTTCAATCATACATGACGAAGTATTTCAATCATAAATGAGGAAGTATTTCAATCATAAATGACGAAGTATTTCAATCATACATGACGAAGTATTTCAATCATAAATGAGGAAGTATTTCAATCATAAATGACGAAGTATTTCAATCATAAATGACGAAGTATTTCAATCATAAATGACGAAGTATTTCAATCATAAATGAGGAAGTATTTCAATCATAAATGAAGAAGTATTTCCATCATAAATGAGGAAGTATTTAAATCATAAATGAGGAAGTATTTCGATCATAAATGACGAAGTATTTAAATCATAAATGACGAAGTATTTCAATCATAAATGACGAAGTATTTAAATCATAAATGACGAAGTTTTTCAATCATAAATGAGGAAGTATTTCAATCATAAATGACGAAGTATTTCAATCATAAATGAGGACGTATTTCCATCATAAATGAGGACGTATTTCAATCATAAATGAAGAAGTATTTCCATCATAAATGAGGAAGTATTTCAATCATAAATGAGGAAGTATTTCAACTATAAATGTATTTTATCATACTTACTCTGAGGATATTGGTAATAAGAGGAATTGGTATTATATCATACTTACTCTGAGGATATTGGTAATAAGAGGAATTGGTATTATATCATACTTACTCTGAGGATATTAGTAATAAGAGGAATTGGTACTATACCATACTTACTCTGAGGATATTGGTAATAAGAAGAATTGATATTATATCATACTTACTCTGAGGATATTGGTAATAAGAGGAATTGGTTTTGTATCATACTTACTCTGAGGATATTGGTAATAAGAGGAATTGGTATTATATCATACTTACTCTGAGGATATTGGTAATAAGAGGAATTGGTTTTGTATCATACTTACTCTGAGGATATTGGTAATAAGAGCAAATGGTACTATATCATACTTACTCTGAGGATATTAGTAATAAGAGGAATTGGTTTTGTATCATACTTACTCTGAGGATATTGGTAATAAGAGGAATTGGTATTATATCATACTTACTCTGAGGATATTGGTAATAAGAGGAATTGGTGTTATATCATACTTACTCTGAGGATATTGGTAATAAGAAGAATTGATATTATATCATACTTACTCTGAGGATATTGGTAATAAGAGGAATTGGTACAAGATACCAGAACATGAGCTGCTACTGGTGAAGTGTGTAGTATTGTTATTGTTGTATTTTTAGACTCGAACATTTTCATTTCTTTTTCTGTAAAAAATATTGTCAGTAGATGTATAATTCAGGACGGTACAATTAAAACTACTGTGTAGTATATTTGTTTTATTATATTTTTAGTAAAGTGAAAAAAGACCATTCTTAAATCATTGCTTTCTAATTGTGATCTTGTCAAGTTATCTTACTATTAAAACTTTCAACCAAAGTGCAGCCACTCCAACCCACATGCCAAGGATCCATCTTATTCAAATTCAGACCGAAAGAAAATATATGATTGCAAGTTATGACTCTTGTTCTTCAAACTGTGAGTATGGCTTAAGGTTAAATATCTTATACTGTTCTGGCAGACGTCTGAAATTAATAAAGGTGACTGTGCTGAGCAATCCATCTTGGTGTTTCTCGATGCGTCGCTGGGTAGTTAAGGTTTTTGAGAATGTCGTAGGGTTGTTCTCCATTATGTCCGTTTTTTAGGGACGGGGAAGATCTTCAGAAGTCAGAAGCTAGATCTTACCTGCTATTAAGGCGTCAGAATCTACGGACCCTTCTGGTTTGAATTCAGATCCAGATGAGTTCAACATCTAAAATTTAGAATTCGTTGTTTTCATGTTAATTAAATATCGCCTTCGACTTTTTTACCCTAATCTCTCTCACCCCATCAACTATTGCAAGCTCTGGAGATGTCTATCTTTGTTATGCCTTATGATCCTGCAATGATCCCCGTTCTTCTTAGGTTTGCCATGATGTTTCTTGAGATGCTTCACCCTCTGTTCCCTCTAGCTTCTCTATGCTTTCTCTTGTCATGCTCTACTCCCTGTTCTCTCTAGCTTTGCCATGCTTTCTCTTGCCATGCACTACCTCTGTTCTCTCTAGCTTTGCCATGCTTTCTCTTGTCATGCTCTACTCCCTGTTCTCTCTAGCTTTGCCAAGCTTTCTCTTGCTATGCTCTACCCCCTGTTCTCTCTAGCTTTGCCATGCTTTCTCTTGTCATGCTCTACTCCCTGTTCTCTCTAGCTTTGCCAAGCTTTCTCTTGCTATGCTCTACCCCCTGTTCTCTCTAGCTTTGCCAAGCTTTCTCTTGCTATGCTCTACCCCCTGTTCTCTCTAGCTTTGCCATGCTTTCTCTTTCCATGCACTACCACCTGTTCTCTCTAGTTTTGCCATTCTTTCTCTTGCCATGCACTACAACCTGTTCTCTCTAGCTTTGCCATGCTTTCTCTTGCCATGCACTACCCGTTCTCTCTAGCTTTGCCATGCTTTCTCTAGCCATGCCTTACTCCCTGTTCTCTCTAGCTTTTCCATACTTTCTCTTCCCATGCTCTAACCCCTGTTCTGTCTAGCTTTGCAATGCTTTCTCTTGCCATGCTCTACCCTCTGTTCTCTCTAGCTTCGCCGTGCTTTCTCTTGTCATGCTCTACCCCTTGTTCTTTCTAGCTTTGCCATGCTTTCTTTGCCATGCTTTCTTTTGCCATGCTCTTCCCCGTTCTCTCTAGCTTTGCCATGCTTTCTCTTGCCATGCACTACCTGTTCTCTCTAGCTTTGCCATGCTTTCTCTTGCCATGCACTACCCGTTCTCTCTAGCTTTGCCATGCTTTCTCTTGCCATGCCTTACTCTCTGTTCTCTCTAGCTTTTCCATACTTTCTCTTCCCATGCTCTAACCCCTGTTCTGTCTAGCTTTGCAATGCTTTCTCTTGCCATGCTCTACCCTCTGTTCTGTCTAGCTTTGCAATGCTTTCTTTTGGCATGCTCTACCCCCTGTTCTCTCTAGCTTCGCCATACTTTCTCTTCCCATGCTCTAACCCCTGTTCTTTCTAGCTTTGCAATGCTTTCTCTTGCCATGCTCTGCCCTCTGTTATCTCTAGCTTCGCCGTGCTTTCTCTTCCCATGCTCTAACCCCTGTTCTTTCTAGCTTTGCCATGCTTTCTTTTGTCATGCTCTTCCCCCTGTTCTCTCTAGCTTTGCCATGCTTTCTTTTGTCATGCTCTTCCCCCTGTTCTTTTTAGCTTTGCCATGCTCTAACCCCTGTTCTTTCTAGCTTTGCCATGCTTTCTTTTGTCATGCTCTTCCCCCTGTTCTCTCTAGCTTTGCCATGCTTTCTTTTGTCATGCTTTTCCCCCTGTTCTCTCTAGCTTTGGTGTGCATTTACTTGCCATGCTCTACTCCCTGTTCCATAGTCTCTTGACATGCTCTACCCCCTTTTTCTGTCTACCTTAGCTATGCTTTCTCTTGACATGCCTTACCCCCTTTTTCTCCCTGTCTTTGCTATGCTTTCTCTTGTGATGATCTACCCCCCGTTCTCTCTAGCTTTGCTTTGCATTCTCGTTCCATGCTCTATCCCCTTTTCTCTTGCTTTGTCATGCTTTCTCTTGCGATGATCTACCCCCTGTTCTCTCTAGCTTTGCCATGCCTGCTCTTACCACACACTACTCCCTGTTCTCCCTAGCTTTGCCATGCTTGCTCTTACCACACACTACTCCCTGTTCTCCCTAGCTTTGCCATGCTTGCTCTTACCACACACTACCCCCTGTTCTCTCTAGCTTTGCCATGCTTGCTCTTACCACACACTACTCCCTGTTCTCTCTAGCTTTGCCATGCTTGCTCTTACCACACACTACTCCCTGTTCTCTCTAGCTTTGCCATGCTTGCTCTTACCACACACTACTCCCTGTTCTCCCTAGCTTTGCCATGCTTGCTCTTACCACACACTGCCCCTGTTCTCCCTAGCTTTGTCATGCTTGCTCTTACCACTCACTACTCCCTGTTCTCCCTAGCTTTGCCATATTTTTTCATGCCCCTGCCCTGTTTTTTCTTGCGATGCCTTTCCCCTGTACTTGTAGTGGAATTAACATGTACACTTACGTGTTTCATAGTTTGGACATACTCCAACTCTGTGTTGATACAGCATGTTGACCCCCCTTTACCAACTGTTCCTCTTGTTTCTTTTAGTTTGTCACAAGGACAACAGAACGATGGCAATTGTCGGTTATATTTTAACCAGATGCTCACAGCTAGAGTTGTGATACACAGTAACAAGACTAAGACAAAGGAAACTCCTGCAAAACATGATCTCCTAGATGGTCTTGAACCCACAACTCCTATCTGTACTGATATATTTTCAGCCTTTGGGTTTTTCAGCAAGGTTTCAGCACCATCACCTTTCTCTGATGTGTTGCCGTTGATTGCCACCATTGTTACTAAGTAGTTAGTTTATTCTAATAAGCTGAAATAAATAGATACAATAAAAGATATTTTCAATTAAAATGTGGAATCATAAAGTGAGTGTAGTTCTTCAAATTTCTTTTATGTGTTGGGACAATGATAACATCAACTTGCACCATTCCAATATTCATTCTGATGTCTGTGCTTCCTGCAATTTCACTAAAACTATGCGTTCTATCACGTGACTATCATTAACTTTCATATTTAGATTTTACGATTTGTGGTGTCATAGAGCGCTTAGTGGTGGTGGTAGTGGTGGTGGTAGTGCGCGGACCAAAGACGTCCACATACCGTTGTCTACAAGCACAGTTGAATGTTTTGGTGACAATATTTTGACATAAAGTACTAACAGACCAAGTTGCAGAGATCCGAACCGCAAAACTAAACCCGAAATCGAAACATATTGGCGAAACATTGATAAGTGATATCAGGTGTCTAGAAGAGTAAGCATACCATGCCTGGAAACACACCCGTCATAGCTTCACAATAAATACAACGAACACCACAAATTTTAATGAGAACGAACAAACAGAAACTTGACTGATGCATTCTAACAGTTCAAGGGACGTAACTGATGAAAATATATTTATTCAATTTCAATAGGCAGGGAACTGGTCACCAATATGTTAAATTGTGATTTTTTAAATGTTGCAAACACCCGCATCCACGGGAAAAGATTTTATAATGAAAAGTGGCATCAAGTGATCAAAAGCAAGTTGAGGATACATTTGACTATTCATAAATTAAATGCGTACAAATGCAGACATGATAATTTTCCTCTTGTTATTATTTTTAAGCTGGTGAATTAATGCATTTGATTGAAAAGTTTATTAGCTGCTACCAATCAAAATGTTCTTTTGGATTTTGGGTTTTGTTTAGCGGTTCGGATCGTTTGTACTTTAATTATTAGTTTATTTATATCGGAATTGAAGCAGTAGAACTTGAACAACTAGTGGTAAATACTTTTTTTGCAGACGTCGTTGGAAAAAACGGTTGCGATTGGTGGTCGGAGAAGATGGAGGGCACATTGAACAGGTAAGTTGCCATGATATTGAATTTTTTGACATGCTATTTTGTTCGGGGAAGTGCTTATACAATTTTTATTCGATGACTTTTATATTTTCAGGGATGGACAAGGTTGAAGTATATCTGTGAGAATTTTGAAAGGGATCAGTTTACTAACAGTTGAGATACTTCCGTCTAACTTTGGGACGTTTTTTTGAGACATCCTATATATCAGTGTCAGAATTATCTTCCAAAGTCTCTAAATTTAAGGACAGTTGAACTTTTTAATGTTTTTTGTATTCGTTTGTAAAAAAAAAAAAGGCGGACTCAATTAACCTTGCACTATTTTATTTGTGTTGTGTATCCAAACGTCATCGTCAGCCTAGCAATGTAGGGGCGGGGCTTAACGTTAATTGACAGGAGTTGTGTTGCTGTTTATTCCGACTTTTCTGACAATAATTTTATCCTAAAAGTACGGTGATAGATTCTTGAACACTACCGAATGTAAATATAACGATTTTTAGATTTTTTTTGCGTTCATTGGTTGATTAACAAGCGAAATTTCCGGTTGGTTCGTTTTGCCGCATTGCCCAACTTGCCGCATCGTGCCCAACTACTTGTAAAACGAAACTAAAGGTTTCTGATAAAATCCGGAATGGCTATTTGTTTCATCAACCAATGAACGCAAAAAAAATCTATATTAAATGAGTTTTCTCATCTTTCTGGAAGGATTCTTTGCGAAAAATAATAAAAACATTTCAAACTTTTATCGGAGCTGGCATATGAAAAAAGAATAGTTGACCTCAAAGAGATTTCTACCTCCGTCTTACTTCGACTCAATTTAAACTGAGCATTTTCGAAAATAAAAGTAAAAGTAGATGCCTAATTTGTATGGAAATAGGAGCAGCTGGTACTCAATATTGCATCAAATAGAATATCCGCATTTTCAGTAAAAAGTAAATAATTCTGAATACTGAAATTTCTGCGAAACAAGAAAACAACCTTTCTTACATCATCGTTTATTGAGAACGGTTATTTATATTTCACTGGTAAAACCAGTCCCTTGACAAGACTCAACGATACGTATAGAATCAATTATAGATTTATAGCTTTATTATTCTAGAAAATAATTATAGGGTTCGCACAGGTCATGGATACCTGGAATATCAGGGATTTTTAAAAACGGTTTTCCAGACATGGAATATCAGGGAAAATCATAATAATTCTGGGGAATTGGCATATTAATCTGGGAAAATGATATTCACATAGGGCATCATACTAGTCTTAGTTACCCAGTACTATCATTCTGAAGGATATTCAGACTCATAGTCTTAAGTGTGGTCTGAATATTATGTACAAACGCTGAAAATGTGATGAACATGATGAGCGTGGTTTGGATTTCTTTGTCATAGTTATTTTCGGAGAATAATTAATGATTTCAGAGTAATAGACTAGTTATTTTCGGAGAATAATTAATGATTTCTGAGTAATAGTTATTTTCGGAGAATTGTAATTTATATTTTCCTGGTAAAACTAGTTACGTGTTTAGTTACGTGTTTGTCATATGACCTTGCTGGTGTAACCTATAAACAGGTTTATAAAGTTCATTTTTAATACATGTATTAATAAACATATATATAAATACAAGTATGTCAAGGCAATTAACAGTATGTACAATTAATCTGTATAATGGGTATAATTTCATGATAGTGCATACTAAACTTGTCTATGATTAGTCTATCATTATCATTCTAAAAAAACACCATGCATACACCAGCCTAGTATATACATAAAGGATATTATCGAATGACACGTCTGTAAAATTAATAAATTAGAAGCAATAAGAATATTCAAATATAATTTCTTATCAAAGAATATTTAAAACTATAATAAAATATAGGTCGTCTCTATAATGTGATGTAATATAAGAAACTATACACCATATTGCACGTAGCCTATATTATTAACAATATGCAGTGTACTCTAATGGCTATCTGTAGGTATAATGCTCAACTGTTAAATAATATCAAGTGAAATGTGTACCTTAATTGTTGATTGTAAATTGTTTGTCACACCTTAAATTAATGTAAAGAAAGAAAAGAGTTACCTTGCTATCGATAGTTCCCGGGAAATTATATTATCTGTTATGCAGATTGATATAAATGATCCAATGAAAAGGCTTGAAGTTATCTGATATGCATAATGCAATAATTACAATGACATAGTGCGGTCACGATGCGGTCACGAACTGAACGTTGAGCTAATTTTCTGAATTTAAAAAGCGTAACCTGGCCTTGAAATTTAAATGTTCAGCACACTGAGAGTTTTGTAGCATGAAAATATAAAAAAAAATATATAGATCAAGGGTAGGCTGTCTTGGAGAGTAGGCTGTGACTGTCTTGGAAAACGTCCTTCATTGCACACTGCATGGCCTTGCCAGCCTTTATATCATATCCTAATTAGGTGCATTATATACACAAAACTCTGATTCATTGGAAATCCTAGAACATTTTGTACTTGTAAAATAGGTATGTTTAGAATTGATGCCACTCGCCACAAGTAAAAGTAGACAATTCGAGAAACGGACGAAATGAAAGAAGGAAAAAACTAAAAGAGATCATTCTGGATATTTGAAAAGAAATAATGTGTGCTTGGCATTGTTATAGTATTAAAAACTATTCTTTTAGATTGCACGAATCGCAAGATTTAAGTCCTTTTTTACCGAAATATTTCCACGTGGGATGTCTTCGGAGTCCCCTGGGGTGCCTTCGCGCTAGCAACAATCTCGTCATTGTCCTTAAAATGAATTGAATTGCTGTGGTAAGTCCCTCCCTCTCGCTTCAATCCAACGTTCTGCAGCTGCTACTGTCCTTAATACAGTGGGCTAATAATTATGTAGTGTACAGGACAGACAATAAACTTTTCAATTTCACTAATTTTATATGAACAGGTGCTAACAATGGAAGTTCCCCGGTGAATAATTTATTTTCAAATTTGAAAATCAAAAAGGAGGGGATGGGGGCTCCCATTGGAAAATTGATGAAAAAAGGATATTGCTCAGTTATAAAACCTGAAACATGTTGTTACTCAGAGTTACATGGTGTGTAATTTCTATTTCAGCCTGTAGGTTAGGGTCTGCTGGAAGTAGAGGTCATCCGACAACTAGTACTAGTCAACTTCAAATGACAATGAAATACATAAGTTGTCTGATGTAAATATATGTATATTCAAAGGCTAATAAGTAAAATAAAAAGAAATAATCTTACCTAATGCGACCGTGTTTAAAGAAGAACAGGAAATATTGTCTATTCTCTGTGAATTTATTATCTTAGAAAAATATTAAGGTTGGGTTTCCTTATCTTTTAGTGTCAAATTAAGCAAACTATTTGATTAATTGGTGTTTCTAATTAATTATCATGTATTTTTAATCATATCATTATGTTCTTGATACAGTCTGGATAAACAAAAAAAGATCGGTCACTCATTGGAATTCAGCTGGTAATTATCTTCTAATTTAGCTAATTATGAATTAATTATGGACATGTGAGACAAACTAGTACTTTTCCAATTCATTTGAACACCTCTACTTTCTATTTATATAAGTATTAGCATTAACTTACATTAAACAATCGTTTACACAATACCTATGAATCTGACAAGCTCAAAATGTTCATGGTCATTCTATATTGAATGAAACAATAATAAGCAATGAAGCTTACATGGTCAAAGCCTTGGTAAATTTGAACCGAAGTTCAAAGTATGAACGGCCAAAGGGAGATAATGGAACAAAATAAGAGTTTTCTCCCTTTAATCACTGCAGCTTAATACTAACTGACCTTCACCTTTACATATAACCTTTACTCTGTTTATAAGTAGCCATTACAACTAGTACGTAGATGTCATTTGTTAAATGATTTGGGATTTTATATCTAAAATGCCGGCTGTACCTCCATTACTGAAACATTTCGACTTGTTGGTTATCGGTGGCGGATCGGGTGGACTTGCCACTGCTAGAAGGGCTGCTGAATTCGGTGTTAAAGCCGTGGTTGTTGAAGAAGCGAGATGGGGAGGCACTTGTGTGAACGTTGGGTGTGTACCCAAGAAAATTATGTACAACGCTGCGATGCACGCCGACATGTTACCCAACTACAAAGACTATGGATTCACTGTCGAAAAGAGGAAATTTGATTGGAGCCATATTCAGAAGACAAGAGATGATTACATTTTAAAATTGAACGGAATTTACGATTCTAATTTAGATAAAGCCAAGGTTGAAAAAGTGCTTGGTCATGCTTCGTTCAATGCTGATAGGACTATTAAAGTAGGGGAGAGAACTCTATCAGCAGATCATATTTTGATAGCTACAGGTGGAAAGGCAGTGATTCCAGATATTCCTGGAGCTCAGCATGGAATAACCAGTGATGGCTTTTTCGATTTGAAGGAATTACCCAAGAAAACGGTAGTGGTTGGTGCTGGATACATTGCTGTAGAATTATCAGGAATCTTTGCATCTTTAGGATCTGATACCAATATGTTCATTCGCCATGACAAAGTTCTGAGGAATTTTGATTGTGGTATAAGTGATTTGGTCACGGAAAATCTTGCTAAAGGTGGGGTCAGAGTTCACAAGCAAACCAACGTAAAGAAAGTTGAAAAAGAGAGTAATGGTTCTCTTACCATAACAACTGATAATGGCAACACTATAAAAGATGTGAATTGTTTGTTATGGGCGATTGGTCGTGTACCAAATACTGATATCGGTTTGCAGTCAGTAGGCGTTGAGCTAGATAGCAAAGGAAACGTTAAAGTAGACGAATATCAGAATACGACAGCAGAAAAGATATACGCTTTAGGCGATGTATGCGGAAAAGCTCTTCTAACTCCAGTTGCCATAGCAGCAGGCCGACGTCTTGCTCATCGAGTTTTTAACAAGGAAACTGGTTTAAAATTAGACTATTCAAACATTCCCACTGTGGTTTTCTCTCACCCTCCGACGGGAACTGTGGGACTCACAGAAGAAGAAGCAGAGAAGAAGTTCGGCAAGGACAATCTGAAAATTTACACATCCAATTTCACACCAATGTATTACGCTGTGACTGAACATAAAGGGAAGTGTTTTATGAAGTTAATTTGTGCCCTTCCCGATGAAAAAGTTGTGGGTCTGCACATGGTGGGGCAAGGCTGTGATGAAATGTTACAAGGGTTCTCTGTGGCTGTGAAAATGGGGGCCACTAAGAAACAATTTGATGAAACTGTGGCTATACATCCAACATCTTCAGAAGAATTAGTTACTATGAGATAGAAAGTATTATTGAATATTTAGATTAGGTTTTATATTAAAATTTCAAACAGTTTTGGAAAACGTTTTGACCAAATCAAGTTAATTACTACCTCTATCTTAATTAATCAAATTTTATATCATCATTGTCCATTGGGAGACAGGATTAATCAATAGTTTCTGTTTTTATATATCGGTTTTTTATTCCCTCCCAAAAATCAACCAGAATAACTGAAGTAATGTAGATAATTATATGTGTTACTGTTTAAATGAATTAAACTATTAAAATATTAACAATGTTGACGACTAAAATGTAACAATATTTTACAGAATTAAATCCATTTTGTATTATCCTTTCTAATTAAGTGCATGAATGTGAAATTAAATCTAATGAAAGAATTTAGCCCCATTTTGTCCCTAATATTTTGTCCTTGGCAATCGTCCACTATACATCACGCCACAACACGCCATATAAGGGCAGTAAGTTATTGTCATAGATAGAAATGTATCAATGTATATCGTTTATTGTGAAACCATGGTGATAATCATGTGTTAATATAAATACATCATAAACGGAGTTAAATACCACAAGAAAGGATATCACCATTATCACTTTGTGTTTTCTTAGTGAAAGTGTCTCTTTTATCATTCTTTCAACAATAATTCTTTGGAAAGGATACGAATGTCTAGTAAAATAGTGAATTATCATCTTGTTCTGTATTTGTTATGATAATATATATCAGTTTGTTGGGATATGATAGTTTCTTTAATGGATAATGTGTCTAAATTTATCTTTTAATATATATTATAATGTAAAAACTTCATTATTGATGAAAGGATCATATTTGGATATTTCTTAGTGAAAGATTGGATATATTTTTTCGTGTTGACATGTGGGATTATTATCTGTTAATTTTCTATAAATTCTATTTCTTCAAGTGCGACCATTTTAAATTTACTTTTTTAGAGGAAACATTTTGACCACCTATCCCATTTTTCCATCCGATAGTTTTGCCTTGAATTAAAATATTTTAAAGACTTTTGGATTTTCTTATTTCCTTTACGTAAGTTTTACTAAAATATTTCTTAAGTGATATTTGTGATAAATTAACGGCTACAGAAAAATACAAGACACGAGTCCTTTACTTTACGGTCTAAATGATTGGTTAGGTACACTTTTGAAACAACATTATATGAGTCAGATATAGCTATTGTAATGGTGATAATTCTCAATAACTAGCGATCCAAAGCTGATTGGATTCAACTCTCATAAAAAGCGTTATTAGATGCCTGGCCCTTGGCATGATGCTATCCTGTTCCTGTAGGGACTGGGTAGTGACGCTATCCTGTTTGTATACCACTTCTAAGGAACTAGATAGTGACGCTATCCTGTCTGTATACCACGTCTGAGGAACTAGATAGTGACGCTATCCCGCTATCCTGTCTGTATACCACGTCTGAGGAACTAGATAGTGACGCTATCCTGTCTGTATACCACGTCTGAGGAACTAGATAGTGACGCTATCCTGTCTGTATATCACTTCTGGGACATTGGGTGGGCCAAATTTGTGGAGTTTAGGCATATAGTGGTCCATTTTTAAAGGACAGTTGTGTCATATTAGGGGAATTAATTTTACTCTTGAATATATGAAAGTAGCATTCAGAAGTACTAGAAATATAAGAAAATCGCATAATTTCTTTTAAAATGCTTCAAACAAGGAATTTTACTCACTATTTCTATAATATCTTTTCTATGACTAGTCGCCATTTTAACATCAATCGCAGATAATTCTGGACACACATGGATTTGAAGGCAAATTTCCACGGTGAGCTGTGGACAACATTACTGATTAGCTCAGTTAAAAACAATTCCCGGGTACGATTGGTCAGAGAAATGGCTCATCTATCCCATTAATAAAAAGTGCATTTTATGAGTTATGTCTTAACCACCTTATCAAAACTATACCCCCTGTAGTCTTAACTTTCACGAGATGATTTGGACACGAGGTGTCCACGTATAAACAAACTGGATTACTATACCTGTTTCTTTGGACTGAATCCTGTCACAAATTCTGGTCCCTGTTTTAAATAATAACAAGTTGACTACTACCTTTTATTATTCTAGACCATATGTTGCAATTCACATAATGAGGAAATATAAAAGATTACGTAATTCAATCAATATTACTTGGGAAATTGATAATACATCCCTGGGATTTTAAGCGACAATGGGATGACGTCAATAGGTTTATGATAAATGATTACTTCTGATACCGTATATTGATTGCCAGTACTAGTGATTATGTCATATGAAATGAGTTGCCAGATTTAATATTACCCGTGCATTTTGGTCATTTTTTTTTTCATTTTACAAAGTCAAATAATTTTATTTTTACAATATGGCCTAATTTTTTAAACCGATTTTGAATAACAATTTTATGTCACAGACACAAGTTTAAACCAATGAAAGCGCATTAATGAGTTAAGCATGAATATTTTGTTATTCATTTCCAAAGTCCATATTCAATCCGTAATATATATAATTTCTAAATCACATTATTTCTCATAACATTCTGTGAGAGTTTGGTTGTTAATAAGAGCACGCAGACTACATGTTCTTCATGTTACCAGATAGTATGCTCTTAGCCAGCTAGAAATCTTTTTCACTTAGCTCTACCCCAAAGGTCCTATGTGAGTAGTGTTATCGGCGGTACCTCATTACCCATTTTAATCGGAGGGTCCATTGTGACTAATTTTAACCGTTTGATTTTATTTCTGAGTGATCCTTTGTGATGTGTGTTGTTCCATTATTATATATAGTGCTTATGTGATATTTCCCACATTTGTACCGCCCCAAATATTTTGGGCAATAGTGCATTCCTTTATTACTTGAATGTGAATACCATTGTGTGCTGTTTGTGTATAGGACAGTGCTCTGATTTGTGTTGTCCAATTTGGGGCATAAGTTGTGAACCCATTGTTCATTATCATTGTTATTATATATGTACCTATATTGTTATATGTGAATTGTTCACTAGATATTGGTCCCAGCGTGTTCTTTGCAATAAAACATTATCGCCCCATTTGGTACATTCGAGTCTTTGGGTGTTCTCCAAGTTGGGATAGATTTTAGTCAATTTTGAGCTGACGTTAGCTCTCGTTGACTGAGAGAATTTGCGTGGTACCGGGGCTGTAAAGCAAAACCCCTTCCCCAGAACAAAAGATCCGGTTACCATTTCAGCCTACCTACATTTTAGTATTGAGGCAGAGTGGCTCGCTACAATTGGGTTGGAAAATCAGAAGAATCGAAAAAAATAATTGGTATGAGTTATTGCTCTTGTTCAATTTATAGCTTGTAAACACTCTAAAAGGCACAATATGAAATTTGGTGTGATCATTTATAATGATGAGATCTATGTCAAGATTGAATTTGAGTTATTTCCCTTGACTTAGTAAAAAGCATCAAAATTTGTTGGCTTGTTAACGCGATAGAGGTGACAGTTTATGTCAGAATTTTATTAGATTTTGTGTATTTGATTAAATCAACTATATCTTGAACAAATTAGATTTTTGGTATGATTGGTGAGCGCCCTTGAAATAATGAAAATGTATCAGGATGTGTCGTCTGCTAGGACAGCGGAATAGTGCAGTTGGTAGCAAGATGGATTAATAATAATAGTTTATTGACAGTAAATAGGTCAATGACCCATAGATACAAAAGTTATTCAAATATATTCATATAATAACCAAATATATTACAAAGATACACAATCATCCAAAAATATATATAAGTATAAACATACAAGTAGTAATTAATATAATATACGAGTTTACTTTACAAGTATAATATGACACTAGATTTGGGTTTTTCTGTATAACAATGCTTTTTTAATGCGTCATATCCGAAAAGACACAACCGTTAAAATGTATTATAACAGAATCCTCAAACTCAGCATTCTCCATACTACATATAAATACCCAACCACACAAGATTCACTATAATAATACAATATAAAATAACCGCATTAAAAATAAGATGTCTTTAATTTTAAAACACGAACAAAAAAAATTCGAAGGAGACGGTTTCTTCTCTGCGCTAACATCTCTCATCCCCATAGTGGCCAATTTTGTCTCAAACAACAAATTTCCTCAGGAGTAGATATAAGCGATGCAGTGAAAAGATCTAACGAGTTGAAAGAATTACAACATATAAGAGAAATGCGAAAATTTATTGGATCAAAACCTCAACTGATTAATGGGAGGTAACACCGTTTTTTGTTTATACACAGTTAGTTGTCTAGAGTATTATTGATTTAATTAATACCTTTTACGCCTAGTAACAATCACTCCTCTATTGTTGACTGGATATATGTCACGCTATAATTAACATATCACGCGTGCAACGTCAGCACAGACAGTCTAGACTCTCAACTTTTAGCAGTGTCTCAATTTTTGTTACGCTGGAAGATTAGGAATTTAATCATACAAAATCAAGGTATGTTCTTTACTCGATTTAATCATAAGACGAGAGGGTGGAAATAAGATGATATGTTATTTGTTGTTTTTTCAAAATATCAGTTTTTGTTTTATTCCAGTCACAAGTTTAATAGATGCCAACATTTCATATCACGAAGAATATTTAAACTATCGGTAGGGGATAGAAAAAGGCCAAGAATTTTACCAAACTCTGTGACAAATATCCGAGGTTTCAAAATTGTTGATAGAGATTTCGAAAACAAAACAAGTGGTGAAGAACAAGCGTTTTGGAAAAGGATATAATTCATGTGACGTATATCTAGCGATTCTAATAGAGGGGGAGATAACTCTGAAGTATATTTAGCGATTCTAATAGGAGCGGTCGTGACCTCATTTCATACCGATCTAATTATAGCGGTCATGTCTGTTGACCACTCTTTTAGGATCGCTCGTGACATTTCATAAAGTGAATCATTTCTATCGCTTGAATAGTTTCTCCTGTATTAAACCTTTCGTATTAAAAATATATTTTGTTTATTTCATTATTG